TTTAGTAGAGACGGGGTTTCACCATGTTGACCAGGATGGTCTCGATCTCTTGACCTCGTGATCCACCCGCCTCGGCCTCCCAAGGTGCTGGGATTGCAGGCATGAGCCACCGCGCCCGGCCTCTTAGTTTGTTTTTTATTTGAAGTATACTTTTATTCATTTTAGAGAAAGATGAAGCATGAAAAATGGAACTTAAGAAACATAAATTCACTGTAATTATTTGTATAAAAGTGTAACGTTTAATTTTTTTTTGCCTTCCTACCAGAAGGTCTGTTAGCCCAGAGCTCGGCACTCGTTCATTCACTGTGCAAGTGGCTGCTCCTGCCGTCCTCTTAGGGTCAGAACGCCAAGGTATCCAGCCAGCCTTCGAAGAACGGTGCTTGGTGAAACTTTATAGATGCGATTATTGAAGGAAGAATTGGAGAGGAGTAGAAGAGCTTAGTGAAAAGATTTGTGGGCAGCACACAAGTTCTCAAAGGAAGCTGCTGACTAAGCTTCTTATGTTTCTCTTCCAAGATTCTACACAGTACGGGCCTGGAGTTTCAACATCAAGTCGAGGAAGCCAAGGATTTAGATCAGTTGATTAAAATTCACTATAGGTACCTGTCAACCATCCATGACCGGTGTCTGCTGAGAGAAAAGGTACATGAGCTGTGTCCTGCAGATGTGGTCACTGCCGGGTGAACGAGGCTGTCTGCCTGCTTTGGGATTTTATGATTATTAAGCTTTTGTCCTGTAGAGTATTCTTTAAGGAAGAACCAGATGAAATGAGGTTACAAGCCAATGTCCCAGGCCGGCCACACTGGCTCACGCCTATAATCCCAGCAGTTTGGAAAACTGAGGTGGGTGAGTCTTATGAGGCCAAGAGTTCAAGACCAGCCTGGGAAACATAGCAAGCCTCTGTCTTTACAAAAAAATTAAAAAGATTAGCAGACATGGTAGTGCACAGCTGGAGGCCCAGCCGCTTAAGAAGCTGTAGTGGGAGCATTGTTTGAGGCCAGGAGTTCGAGGCTGCAGTGAACTATGATCACACCACTGCACTCTGCACTCCAGCTTAGGTAACAGGGAAAGACCCAGTCTCTTAAAGATAAGCCGGAGGAGGAGTGCCCTGTCAGTAGAAATGGTATCTAAGAGCAACCTGAGAACTGTGATAGTCAACACTCACGCTGCGTCACTCTTGGACTCAGTTGGAAAGTTGTGTCTGCAGTTGTAGAGTGATAGCACGTCCACTTAAAGAATTCAGTAACGTGAAAACCGCTGGAACTACTTGTCCTGGTTTCGTTGGTGAATGTACATCGCCATCTCAGGAAACGTCTTAATAGTTTCTTTTGATTTGACTACTACTGATACCACCTGTACCTTACATTCCGTACATGCACGGGCCTTGAGTCCCAAATGGGTGTGGTTCAGAGCCTAGAACATAGAAGTTCCATATGCATAGAAGGTAGTCACTGTGGTGATGAGCTTTCTCTGCGATTCATTTAAAATAGGTAAAAGTGTTGGTATCAGTGTCCAAACCTCGTTACACAGTTTGTATTCTGCGACTTTGGTCTCCAGGTCAGCTTCGTGAAGGAAGCCATCATGAAGGTGTTGAACTTGGCTCTCATGTTTGCAGATGGTTGGCAGGCGGGCCTGGGCGCTTGGCGGTAAGTCTGTGACTTCTGAAGCATCTGCACTGTAACCATTTCAGCTTCGGCTTTTTTTTTTCTTTT